TACTTTTAATGTTGTCCTCTAACACCATAACTCAAATGCATTAACTCTTCCACAGTCTTCCTTATTCACTGTCCGACTCTCAAATATATATGAGGTTCTTGAAAATACCATGGCTTGGGTCAGGTGCACCTTAGTCCTCAAAAAATCTTTGCTCTTCAACATTTTAAAGAGGTCTTGTGCAGCAGACTTGTCTAATGTAATATGTTGTTTGATTTCTTGACTGCTGCTTCCATGAGTGTTGATCCAAACAAAATGCAGTCTTTGACAACTTCAATGTTTTCTCCATTTATCTTGATATCATTTGTTGGTCCAGTGGTGAGGATTTTTGCTTTCTTTACATTGAGATGCAACCCAGCCTAAGGCTGTGGTCTTTGATCTTCATCAGTAAGTATTTTAAGCCATCTTCGCTTTCAGCAAGCAAGGTTGTGTCATTTGCATATCACAGGTTATTAATGAATCTTCCTCCAATACTGATGCCGTGTTTTCCTTCATATAACCCAACTTCTCAGATTATTTGTTCAGCATATACATTGAATAACTATGGTGAAAGAATACAATCCTGGCACACATCTTTCCTAATATCAATCCATTCAGTGTTCTCTTGTTCTATTTGAACAACTGCCTCTTGGTCTATGTACAGGTTCCTTATGAACACAATTAAGTGTTCCAGAATATTAATTCTTCACAATGCTGTCCATTACTTGTCATGATCTACACAATTGACAGCCTTTACATAGTCAATAAAGCATAGGTAAACAGCTTTCTGGCATTCTCTGTATTCAGCCAAGATCCATCTGACATCAGCAGTGATATCCCTTGTTCCACATTCTCTTCTGAATGTGGCTAGAACCTCTGGAAGTTCTCTGATGTGTGATTGCACCCATTTTTTGGATTATCTTCAGCAAAATTTTGCTAACATGGCATGTTAATGAGATGGTCCGATGATTTCTGCATTCTATTGGGTCACCTCTCTTTGGAAGGGCACAAATATGGATCTCTCCCAGTCAGTTGGTCAGGATGTTGTCTTCCAAATTTGTTGGTATAGATGAGTGTGAGTGCCTCCAGTTTTGCGTCAGTTTGTTGAAAGATTTCAATTTTTATTCCATCAATTCCCAGTGCCTTGTTCCTTGCCAATGCCTTCAATGCACCTTGGACTTCTTCCTTCAGTATCATTGGTTCTTGATCATATGCTACCTCTTGAAATATTTGGATACTGACCATATCTTTTTGGTATAGTAACTCTGTATTTCTTCCATCTTCTTTTTCTTTGTTTGTTTTCCTCCATCTTCTTTTGATGCGTCCTGCATCATTCAATATTTTAGTCATTTTTTTTGTTGTTGTTATTAAGTTCCGTTGAGTTGGTTCCGACCCATAGTGACCCTGTATAGGGTTTTCGAGGAGCAGCTGGTGAGGTTGCACCACCAACCTTGCAGTTCAAATGGCTTTGCAGTCTGGCGCATTGACCCACAGCACCACACCAGGACTCATTTTGGTCATAAAAGCCTTCAATATTGCAAGAGACTTGAATCTTTTCTTCAGTTCACTCAACTTGAGATATGATGAGCATATTCTTGCCTTTTGGTTTTCTAACTCCAGGTCTTTGTATATTTCATTATAATACTTCACTTTGTCTTGTTGAGTTGCCTTTTGAAATTTTCTACTCAGCTTTTACCTCCACATTTCTTCCATTTGCTTTAGCATCTCTATGCTGGAGAGTAAGTTTCAGAGTCTCTTCGGACATCTGTTTTGGCCTTTTCCTTCTTTCTTGTCTTCTTAATGACCCTTTCATTTCTTCCTGTGTGATGCTCTTGATGTCATCCAACAACAACTCTTCTGGTCTTTGGTTGTTAATGTCTCATACATCAGATCTCTTCTTGAGATGACCTCTAAATTCAGGTGGACAATGTTAACGGTCAAATTTTGGTTCTTTTGGACTTGTTTTAATTTTCTTCAACTTCAACCTGAACTTGTACATGAATAATTTATGGTCTGTTTTTTTACCATCTCTTTCCACAGATGTAGTCAATTTGATTTCTGTGTATTCCTTCTGTTGAGGTTCTTGTGTATAGTCATCTTTTATGTTGTTTAAAAGGGTATTTGCAATAAAGACATCATAGTTGTTGTTGTTATGTGCCATGGAGTCATTGGTCTTGCAAAATTCTATCATGTAATCTCCAGCAACATTTCTATCACCAAGGCCATATTTTCCAACAATTGATCCTTCCTAGTTGTTTCCAACCTTTACATTCTAATCATCAGTATTTATCAATACATCTTGATTATATGTTTGATCAAGTGCAGATTGAAGAAGTTGGTAGAATTCTCTAATTTCATCATCACTGGCTATATTGGTTTATGCATAAATTTGAATAATTGTGGTATTAACTGGTTGTCCATGTGGGTGTGTGGATATTATCTTTTTTTTCATTATCATTATTATTATTATTTTCATTTCATTTCATCAGGTCCGCCTAGACAGATTGAATACTACTCACTGGAGATTCTACCTTCCTCCAGGCCCTCTGGATCTAGGTTCCCTCTTGAAAGCTTGTAAGCCAGTCACTTCTTGCCTTT